AACAATAATTGATAATGATAATAATAACGGTTGGAGATAATACCCTTAAAATACCAATTACTTTTTCGAACCAGCCTTAACCATTAGCAGTATAGAAGATAAATAAGCGGCTTGTGACGAAATAGCAGCAATAAAATAAACCAAGCAAAAGAAAAACTATGGCGATGAAAATTCCTATTGCTGATCTTATATTTGCTGCATGCCCGTCTCTTTCTACTCGTCATCTAAACTTTTTGAATCATCTGCTAATCCGTACAGTAACGTCATTCATACCAGTTCTGCTAGGCACCTTCATGCTATTCTCTATTTTTATGAATCACCACTTTAAATTCATATCGCGGCTCGCTGATCGCGATAAATTTGCTTTGTTCCAATTCTGCTGAACGTACTCATTTTTCGTCCGCTTAAAGCAGGTAAAGACGTCTGGCAAACGCCATAAAATGACAATGCTACGAGACAACACTAGTACAGTTGTTCAGTGCTGATAACGTGGATGCAGAAGAAATTGTTGATAAAATCCATTCTTAACTAAGAACAACTGAAATAATGAAGAGTAGAATAAGGAATACCTATGCAGCTAAAAGAACAACTCACTAACTAAAGAATATAATCTGATAACTCACTTGATTTATAAAATAACGAACAACTAATAAACTGCCGAATACAACTAAAAGAACTGAGAGAATGAAAAGGATAACTACCTTGCTATCTCACTGTCAGTGTAACTAATGCTAGGAGCAATTCTTCAACGGTACTGGGACAAGCTTCTATTACAGCACGCTGTCTCAAAAGAACATTATATGATTTTAAAAAACCAAAGATGTTCCCTTATTGCTTCCTTTCGCAAGGCAGATGTTTCCAATAATTCGATGAGAGCTTTAAAGCCAAACAGCGATGCGAGGAAATACTACTGAAATGAAAAGAGCTTTTCAATTATTTTCCTCAAGAGTGGAGAATGTCGCTATTCGAATGATCCCAAGACACTAGCGGTTCAGATACGGAGAATAGACTATATTAGTTCCTTTCAAAACTTCCTAAAACAACTGCGCAGCACATAGTAATATCTGCCCTGGCAAGCACTTGAACAGAACCACTATCAGGCAGAGAATGGGGTGTATTTCGATGAAGCAATGCCTTCGTCACCAGCAAAAATTCAGATTCAGTAAACATTTGATATTAGTATTCAATCACCCACCATTATTACCTAAAATATGCGGTGGTTTGTTGGAGTTGAATCTCGGTTACCCTGAACTGTAGATTGTTTAACAAACGGTAATAATCGCCGCGTAATCGCGTAAATACTTCTGCATAGGTGACCAAAGAAACCTACGAACATAGCAAAAGAATCGAATAAGATGAGAAATATGGAATGTTACAGTCTAGGTGCCTTTCACGATGGTTCCGGAGACAGTAGCAGTTGTGCTGGTACGTTGAACTATATGATGGCTCCAATGGTATCTGGTTCCGAAGATGAGCACAAATTTATCAATTCATTCAAACTTTCACAATGTTCCATGAAGCAAATTGAAGCGTTTCTAACGTAAGTATTATTGAGACAGCGAAACGCATTCTTTTCATTCATTTTCAGGCGATTGTTTCCATGACAAAAATTTTATGAAGCTGAGAAAACGGTTTATTTCCAGATTGTTACACTAACTGTCCACAAAATGATATTTTCATCATTAGTTAATTTTTTGTTGCTCAGTGGAATTAATTACGATAAAATGGGAATCAAAATCGTCTGATGTGAAATTATATTTGAACGAGGAGAACATATTGCTACCATATGAGACCTTGAGACCTCTTGTCTAGCAAAAAGTCAGTTTTTTTTNTTTTTTTTCAGGCAGCGATAGTAATGCTAGACAAGAAGTCACAAGGTTTCTTTGCAATTTCGCTTGATAGATTCAGTTTTACAATTCGTTCAGAAATGGGACTTCATTGTGCTTGAGACGTCATCGCGGATATGAGAAACGGCCTAGACGTACGTCTTCGTCAGAGGGACGAAAAAAACCTGGCGAAATATTTCTTCAACAACACCAGTGCAAAATTGCGTTTGGACCTCATTACGGTGTCTGCAAGGTAAGATTTAGATTCATAATTTGAGTCGTGTTGACCATCTTCAACCAAATTCAATGAAGTGGTCAAATTCAGCCAGATGCAAATAACTTTTGCAGCAGTGACCTAAGAGTCAGAGAAGCTTTATTGAAAAGGAAATATCAAGGCAAATCATGACATTCTCTTCTAGGTTCTGATGATATTCTCCTCTAGTTTATGACATTTTATGATTCAATAATTCGTAGCAATAAATTGTATCCGAAAATATCAGTCATATCTAGGCATCTGTAATCACCTTCGAGAAACAAAAAGTGTTTGGACTGTATAAAAAATATCGATTATGTGATATCAAACTTGGAAACAGAAATGAAATCATATGAAACAACTGAATCATATAAGTACGTATCTGAAGGTGGAACGAACAGTTTTATAGCATCCTGAATATCAAAAGAGAAAAGATCCATGCAAACGACTGTGGTGTAAAAACAGAAATACGAAAAGAACGGCATCTTGTGAGACGAAGGGTTATTTGCCGATGTTTGACGGCACCAAATGTGGTACTAATAAGGTAATTTTTCAAAATGATTGAACGATTCAATGTGATCCAACTGAATTGTTTCATTGAAGCTAAACTCTTGATTACAGTATCTTAGCAACGCAATGCCACAATAAGATATAGGTGAAAGCTTATGCGATCTGTCACCATTACTTTAGATATTGTGCATGAAGCACCATTGTTAGGCGGAGATATCTGCTGTATACAAGCTAAGAAGTAATTCTTTGAACAAACCATTGAGATTTTACTGTAAACAGTTTCTGATAACTTCCCAAGAAAATTGACATCACTAAGTTTAATAAAAATGTGTGTTTGAAAAAAAAGAGTTTCATTCACTGAAATGTAGAGATGGATAAAATAGACGAGAATGATCCGAACTGATCAGCAAAAGGCTTTGGGAGAACGGAGTGGCTGATAGCAGTCGTCATGTGATCATTTTTGTGACAGGCAGAAGTGAAGCATCAGCACACTCTTAAAAAGCATTAGATTAGCACGTAAACACTTACGAAATTTCGAAATGGGTAACACATTAGTACGCACGCACTTTTGCACTTTTGAAAATTTCAATTTCGAAATTATCACCAGTGATAAGGCGTTATCAACCACTCAACATACCTGCTTGAATGGCCAACATCAGTTTAAAGTAGAGTCAGCGAGCGACAAATTTTTTCGATGGCTATTTACCGACGAACCTCCCTCCTATTGGTGGCCACCGATGAGGCGAATTTTCAACGTCGAGAGCGGCTGATCAGTCGATGACCACCGATCAAACAATCACTCTCGATTTCAGTCGTTCACCAATAAAATTCGGGCATTAGCAATTTTCGGTGATCACTAAACCAGCTCTGCTAAATAGAGCAATTTAATAGCACTTCACCGACTAAACAACTACTTTTAAAATCTTTGCTGGGCTTTTCTTCAGGAGATCGGAGAGTCAAATTATGTTTAGCATTCGATCATCAATTGCATCTGCAAAATATTTTAGCCGTTATCAGCTGAGAGGGTCGAAAGGATATTTTGAACAGATAACCAATTGTTGTTGATATTAAGTAGCGCCGAACGAAATGTACTTAAATTTTGGACAGAATGCTCATTGTCAGATAAGACGTGACCGACAAAAAGTTGATCGCAGTCTAAAAAATTAGAAAATTTAGACTAAAGTAGAAGAATTTCGGAACTAGAGGAAGGGCAGGAAATAGGTCACGAGTGTTGGTTGGTTCGATCAATTTGTTCCACTTCGAATGTTGTCCTTATGAAGTAAAAAACTGCTTGAACGCTTATCAGCTACCTTGACCAGTCAGTCAGTTGTGACGTTAAAAAATGCAAAATTTCGAAATATCAGGGTATTCCGCAGCACTGCTTATCAATTGCAGCTGGCACGTACCATGCTAACTGCAACTGATAAACAACGTTACGAAATATACCTTATCAGTACCCTAATATTTCGAAATTTTTGCCGAATATAGAACATACAAATATTAGAAGACGATTACGAAATCTAATGATTGATGTAAAAATAGGGGACACTGGTAAGGTTGAAATAGAAAAATGAAAACATGCGAAATGAAATTATTGACTGCAACGAATCTGGTGTTTTTTTTTTGAGTTTTTAGTGAGCATAAGAGAGGTACGATTGAGATTAACGATGAGACTCGGAATTTTTGCTCATTATTTTAGCGAGAACTGTTTCAGTGGAAATAACTCTGCTGCATTTTCAGTGGTGTATATTCGGGAAATGCGTTGATAATGGCAACGAAGAGGACAGTTTAGTTGGTATGTTTGTTATTCGTTCATCTGGACTTCTTTGCCTCTGCTTCATTTAATATTTATTGAATTTGCACACGAAACGAAACCAAGCACTTGTCTGCATTTAATATGCCTTGATCACACAATCTTGTGTAGTGATCACTGAATATTTCGATTCGATACCATAGAAGACTAAAGCTAACAATGAATAATTTCATTAGCCATATCGCCACTAAACAGTAACGTTCGAAATTTTAGGTTGTGTTGATCTGAATACAACAATGTGTGACACGTTATCAATGGTGAAGCGGAAGAGATTTTGTAAATCCGTAAAATTTCGTTCAATTTGCTGTTTCACTTGTTCGACACTAAAATCCGACAAAAAATCTTAATCCATCTCGGGAAAAAACGCAGTACTTTGAATATATCTTCGCTGATCATAATTCGTTTCATTTTACGTTAAAAAAATTATTATTTGTTTTGTATAACAATACCAAAACTGCCAAATATTTCAAGTAACTTCACTGCATTGTATTCTGTGTTATTCGTTGTGTTATTATGACTTGATTAAAAGAATCTTTAAATTTCACATTCCATGCTGTGATGAGTCAAGTCTTGTATTATCAAATCGAATTCTCTTATCAGCCAATCTTGCCGTTCGTCACAGGATGGCCCCAACAAAACACATCTTACTCATGCGTAACCTTACAAAAAAATTTTCGAAGTCTACTGTTAAGTTAAGTTTCTGTTTATATACCCTTTGTCAGCCTCCCGTTCCATATAAATAAATCTTAATGACAACCGTGAATTATATTGTTGACGTTTTTTGGACTGAAATCTATAGGTTATTGATCACATCGGACCTTTACGATCAAATCTGTGACAATGATTAGACAATTGTCCAGATGTACGATTAACTTCAATGATTCGTTGAGGTTTCAAAAAAAATCTAAAAAATTCACATGCGCAATGCGAGTAAGGATGTATTCACTATAGGATGTACTTAGAATGCTATTATATTTGCTACAAGGTCTTTGAAAAGACACATTTAACAGTTTCTGTTACTCCAATTGTCACCCATTGCATACGGCTACGAAACAATGAAACGAGTTAAAGTTTACGTCGAATGGAAACGATTTCGTTAGGAATTGATTGCATCCGGCCGGATTCATATGGCGTTGCACTTGTCAACCTCGAAGAGTTCTCTTCTTCGTTTGACATTCTGAATGGAAAAAAATCGATTCAGAGTTCACCCAAAAACGTCAAAGAAGTACACATCGCAATTCCTAATCATTAGGGCACTATTGTTGAACATACTCTGATGTGTTATGCATTCAAACGGATCGAGTGTCAAACTCGAACACTCGACTAGAACCCATTCGCTGAAGTTATACACACTTGTTTTGTACCCGAACGAGCGTTAAAGCCTCAGAAATCATTTTGTTTTCAGTTGTGAAGAAAAGTTTTTTGAACGGAAAAAATGTCCTATATATTCAGAGTAAGGTGTTTGTGTGCTTTCCGATCAGCGTTTCTCGTAGAGGTGGTGGTTGCCCCTCTGGTAAGCGTTGACTGACGTTATTTGAAACTGTCAATTCAAACAAAACACTTTGATTTAAAGGATGGAAAATACCAAAAAAGTGGTTTAGACTACTTTTTTTGGAATCACTTCGAGCCTTTGAAGTTACATCTATCGTCGGATGATCGAGATTTTAACACTGAAGTAAATGAAACCGGTTTTTTAAACCAACCAGCTTGGAACAAATCGCTATCAGTTTCAATTTTATTCCATAACCTCACCTCGAAACAAATCTTACGGCAGGCACGTCCACTCATGCTGATCTCTCGTCAACGTACACTTTCCAAACATCGAGCATAAACTCAATCTGTTTATTAATTGTAAGTTTGCGGTCTGCCTAGTCGAATGTTCAATCGCTCTAAGCGTTCGAAGCCAGACTTCGCCTTAACTCATACAATTGATTGATTTTGCTTTAATTATAAGGCGTGCGTTTCTCAAGAGGATAGCAACAAAATACAGCCACGATGGCGGCGTCTCACTCTCGATTAAAGTGAGCTCTCGTCGAGCACATAACAGATAAATGACGCCCTAAGCAAAACATTGCCTATCATACCTAATCTATACCATTCCCTTTTCACTATTACTTTCCAATTGGGGTTTTTTCTAATTCACCATTCATTATAATAACTAAATATAATTTAATCAATAACAATAATAATAGTGATAGTAAAAGTAATAATGACACGAACCATAATATTAGCAGTAATCTGTCTCTGTAATGTCAAAAACACAAGGGCACATATTGCTGCTCTTGGTCTATATACTGGCTAATGACATTCGTTGTACTTGCTTGCATGTTAGCTAATGCTATGCGTTTGTTCATTTTCAGCTATATTTTGTGTCACTAGCAGCAGGCAGCTATGTGCTCGGTTGTCAGCTGAAAATAACGACATTTTTCCGTAGATAAACATGACTGTAAACGAAACAAACTTCTAAATGCATGAATGCATTTACGATCAACAACACATCGATCACACCATGATCTATTGCACATTTGCATTCGACTCTTTTCTGTTTCTATTCTGTTCATGAACATAAATCTATTATCAAGTTGTTTTTAACGATTCTGCACACCAAACATCATCACTCTTTTGATGTGCTGATGCATCAAGCAGAGCACGCTCATGCATTCAGCAACTATTANATCAACACTGCACACTCGAGAGCAACAAGAATAGAGTACAGCAGCACAACGCAGTGTGTTCTATGAAGTTCGTTTGCTTGATTATTGCTTGTCCGTGCATTCGTTTTTATCAAACGTTATGATCGATCACCTCGCGTTATACAGTGTTTCATTTGATAGAGTTTAGTCTGGAAATTGCGTTTGAAACATAGGCATAAGCTTGCTTAAGTTTATCAGAACGTATCGCTAATTGGATGTTGTTGTGAGGGAAATAAATAGTATGTATTTAGACGGCGATGAATGAAAATTAAACAGCATGAAAATAGTCAACAAGAAGCACAAATGAATGAAGGTTACTGGTTAGATAGGTGCATCGATAGATCGTTGATAGTTGATAGATCGACAAATTAGATGCATCGAAAAAGTGACGTTCAAGTGAAAATAATAGGTAGGTGAATAAAACGAGTGTAAATTAGCTAAATTAAATCGAAAAGCGTTCAAGGTTAGCGATGAGATACCTAACGGAAAACGCACAACAATTATATCAAACGATTGGTTGTGATGTGTTCGCAGTGAACATACTTTCAAGCCGCAGTATGGAAAAAAACTTGATTTCGTTCGATTTCTCAGTGGAAACGATTTAGATTCTGTGATCACCACCCCGCAATCATGACTACGATCATGTTTACCTAGAATCATTAAATTGATCAGCTAATTTATGCTAGTAATTCTTTGAATGATATGGTTGCTAAGGGAACTAGAATCATTCATGTAGATGCTACTCCAAGCACACACTTTCCCAACTCTTGATGTACTCGCAGTCAGCTCTGACTTCATTGAGAGGACGATGCAAACGAGAGTAAGAATACGCTCAACGTTGTTGTGTCATATTTATTCATTTATGTGGATGTTCATTTGCATTTGACATGACAACGATGTGGATGTTCGTTCGTTCGTGCATATCATTCAACTCAAATCATCTAACTTCCAATACACACGCTAACCCCAACGTTTTTTTTCATGACATGTTCGTTTATCTCTCATTCGTGATAAGTGAAATCTATTGGAATGTCCTAAAAGTTGAATATTTCAAGAATACCTTACAATTACGTTACATATATGAAAAGCATTATTTGATTGTAAATGTGGAAGCGTTCTTAAGACGTAATGCTCGATGTGTTTATTTAACAATTATCCAATGTTACCAGTGAGCAGCTTCAGTTGAATGGATAATATTACAGCACAATTGAATTAAACATATGTGTGTTCATGGTTATTGCAGTTGACAGAAATAATCGTCAATCAGCGTTAAGCTGAATCTGATGAACGTCCTTTAAGGAAATTTTCTCCTCGATGCAATTCGACAGAACGAACCCCATGTCCTTATCTCCTCGTGCCACCTCAGATTCTTCTATCAGCTCCGCTCATTGATTCTCGATGACTCCGCTGTATTGATCGATTTTTAGCGGATGGCTGAAAAATTACCTCCAGGTAAGAAGCAGTAATTTATTCGAGGCGCAAGTGAAGTCCACTCTAAAAAATTGACCACTTCAGAAACCTGTCTGAGCTGGTAATTTTGTGGTATCTTCACGTCACAAAATCGTTTTCAGCAGCTAAGAAGTACCTAACTGTGTGTTTGAGAATGCCAAAAAATGTCCATTTCACTTAATGAATAATATGAAAAGCCTCATTAAGATGACCAAAATTACGAAAAACATAAGCAAATGTTGTGGAATAATGATATTGTACTGGTTGGGGAAACTTAATTTTCATGACACTTTCGATTTCACTACAAATGTTACGAACAGAATCTTCTTCATTTTAGCTCTACAGCATATAATCTGTAGCTGGAACTGCAGTGAGATCATTCATGTTTACAAAGCAGACACACTTTATACATGCTTATTTGAAGGCAGTCTTGTCACTCGGATATGCTCATCCTGGAGGCATCAGTTTCTGATTTAGAACAGAGCATAAATTCAGGCATAGTCTCCTTCGGATCTGTTTGGCGAGATTCGCTTTGGACAATTTAAAAATGAAATCTTAGGTCACGGCGAAAAATCTCATTCTATTAAAGAATGCATCATATGCCTCATGTGTGTTGATAACCTAATAGAAGCAAGCACTTCCATGGAAATCAGAATCGATTATAAGTGATAGGAAGTACAATTTTATAGATTCAGGTTGCATCTAACACTGCTAACTGTGTATGAGGTAAAAGAAGAGAAACTCGTCGAACACGATGCAGATACTAGATGGACAATTGAGAGTGCAGCTCATAGCTGCGGAATTTCTCCGGTTGCTGTTGTTGGGAGACTATGTCATGAATATTTTCGCAGTTTTCTCAATAAACTGCAATTAATTCAGTGCCTGTATTCAGGTACACTTTGCGTTGTTTGTGAAGATCTTGCTACCGGAAATCACTATTCAGTGCCATCGTGTAACGGATGTAAAACCTTCTTTCGACGTGCTATTGTGGTAATCTTTATTATCAAAGCAATTATATTACAACGATTCTGATTAACGTTTTCAGTATCAACTGAAAGAAATCTCATCAAGAAAGAGCATCTCATCAAAAAATTTAAACTGATTCGACTGCAATAATTTCGAGTTGAATAGTCATCTGAGGCAGTACTTGGAAAGTACATTTTTAATAGTGGAACATAAGGGTTTCCGGTTTAAAGAAGCCCCAGCCTACGTTTCTTGGGCAGAACTTTAATTTAAAAAACTTAATCCTCATTTAGTCTCGTCATTTAACACATTTGCATAATATGCTTACTTATTTCAACAATTCATTGCCTATCTCTTAATAAAGTCATCATCGTATTTTTTGTTGTTATATAACAAAAGCAAACATGAGAGCGAAACAAAGCCATCAGAGAAAAATGAAAAACTTCATTTTAAGTCGAATTATATTTACCTCACCTGAAAACGAAAGTATTACTGAAAAGAATTCTCGTCATAATTCGATGTGTTTAATGCTTGATTCTTTTCTTCAGAACAATCGAACATTCGCCTGTATGGGTACTGGAGATTGCCCAGTCAATAAAGGTGATATTTGTGCAAGATCACTTTCATTTTTTAACACATCTATAAAATTTCCTTTTATTCAAACAATCCACCAAATGGACAATTCCAATCATACTATCGTTGAGATGATAACTGACTGTACTAGTGAAGTGCCAAATTGTTTCGGTGTTTAGACATTTGATATCTTGGTTCGAGACTTTCTCGTTCGAATAGGAAGACTTCGAAGAGAAATAATAGGAGAGATTCTTTTGGACTGAATTCATTGATGTGTGCTGAATTCATTGTTCTAAAAGTCAACAATATACCTCCAAGCAGTTTGATTGAATAATAATAATAGATTCATGTAGCCACTAGATTGCTGACAATGATTACTTTCATTACTAAAACAAAGTGCAGTAACCTAATTTGGCATATTATTTAAGGTGTACGTTGTGCATGTCGCCACTGTAGATTCAATAAATGTTTACAAGTTGGAATGGATAAAAAGTGTACGTGAATGTTTTGTCTTTTCATGCAGGGGTGACCTCCAAGTTTAACACACTTCCACAATATTGATCCTGTGTTTCTTGTCCAAGATCCATGAGACAATGTATACATACCGAGATTTATACTCTGTTAAAGTAACAGATCATCCACTCAGCGTTTTACAATGCTCAATTTAAATCACTCATAGATTTCTCATAACCAATACTGCAGTGAACCAGGTTGTTGCTCCCTTAAGCATTTTACCCGATCATTTGAATAATTCAAGTTTGAACGCAGAATTCATTTACTTTCTTAGACATCAGTAAGCCTTAATTCCTCCTTGTGCACGCATGCTCACGTATTTGCTCGTAATCAATCAGCATATCAATCAGACCGATATTCTGTTTTGCAGCAATTCAAAATGATCGTGATCGTATCGGATACACAAAGCGAACGAGGCGGACAGATAAAAGTGTTGCCGAAAAACGCATTAAAGTATCCAGTTCACCGATCGCCAGCAGTGATGAGGACGAGGCGAGGTGACTGTGTTCAGAAGCTGGCCTTCTTTTTCACAAGTCGTTTCGCATAATCAATCCACTTATCCTGAAAATCAGAATCGAAAGCGTTTCGTCGCGTGCAAAATTTAAAAACAAAACGAAATATATAAACGAAACCAAATCGAACCAAGTCCGCTTGTTGATAAGAATCCCCATTTTCATTGTGCACACCCGAAGAGATGATAGATTATCCTAGTTACTCAGAACTCGTAAAAATGATCTACATTTTCGGCATTCCATCAAGATTTTCAGTTGCTATCATACTGAAGCATTTCATTAATTTTTCAAATTGTTCATTAAAATGAGAATTTCTCAACGTTAAACGATGCAAATCTTATGACTTTCATCAGAAATTTGAAAGTTCCAGTTCACGCACAGCTGAAGATTCACCGCTACCGAACGGCGGAAATTACGAGAGACAAGAATCACACAGTCCCACTGATTGCAGTAGTGGCACCCCATCCGTTCAACATCCTGCTATGGTTCGTACGTTGAACATCTAAGGCTCAGTTGCTCTTGTGAATCACTCAGCTCTTTCGTATACTTTCCCTCTACTAGATGAAAAGATTGGTCGTTTGACTCCATCTCATTCAAATCCAATAAAAATCACGGTTAAACAAATCAATGAGACCAATAAGAAACAAAATCCATTTGGTACTGCAATAATAAGAATCATTACCATCCTCCAATCCCTATCCTCAAAAAAGAATCACGGCTATCCGATAAGTCAAAAACTTGAGGTACTGGACAGAAAACGAGAGCAAAATATTTGAGAGAATATTAAGTATTATTAGAATTAAAAAGCATTTGTGCTTATCTTCACTGAATAGTATTTTCTCCAGGTGTACATAACGGAATATGCTAAAGATCAACATAAAACTGATATTCATTAGTATGAGTGAGTTATAGACTCGAATTGTACGTGACAAATGAATGCATTTCGAAGTTTTACAAAGATATTCACTAGATAGAGTTCGGATTGCAGATGACACCCGACCCGATGTTGGACCGTTTAACGACCTTAGAGAATAACTTCACGTTGCTGTTGTCCCGTGCTGATATCGAGCCATACGCCTCACTTGATGATGCACTGGCCGCGCCGAGTCGATTTTCACGTCCTGTTGACGTCAAGGTATCTATCACTCGTAACACGGTATTATCGTGAAGTTTATAGCAAATCTCATGAATCTATATGCTTCATATGGATCATATCAATTCCATTCATAAAAAGCATTCACTGATTGAATCATCGCTTGCAAGACAATGATATCAGACATTCCGTGGCTAAATATGCGGACTGTAAAGATCCAATTGCTTCGATTAAAGTGGTTTGGTTCGACCAGATAAAATCCAATTGTGTGGGCCAATCATTTCATCGCACGGAAATTTGATCATTTTCTATCGCTAAGNACTTTGAAGATATGTTCAAATCCCATTTTGTCACCGTATCTAGTCATGTATTTCAGATCACCGATCCTATTGCAGCACCGAAAGCTGGTAAAGATCAACACAAGATGCCTTTTTGGCGGTCACGTATCATTGCGTTATATATTGATTGGGCAAAAACGTTTCCAGTTTTTCGAAATCTACCAAACTCCGATAAAGTTAGCTGCTTGGCTGCTTATGAACCGTAGCAGTATGCTAGCTTTGAAACGTTATTGAATTCGCCTTGTTGAAAATTTGGATTATTAGGAGATCCAAATTCAAAATATTGGAAAAAATAAGAAAAAGATTAGGTAATAAGACAATTCTCCCAAAATAACACGACAAAAATGAATCGTTGATGATTAGAAGAGTGATATTACCGAAATGAAGATGGATTTGTTGAATAAAAGATAGTTTTTGTTGTCGTTGAAGGTGGCGCTGATAACCAATCATGCAAGTTCGTATATGATAATGTGCGAAGCGTTTCGAACACCTGAACATATCAGTGATGAAATTATTCCATCGGATGGATTTGCGTTCACGAAACATTCAAACGAAGAGAATTTATTGCCGTCAGAGTTTGTTTTCTCCTTCAGAATATTCAGATTCCGATTGCATCCACTGAAAGACACAAGCATAAATTCATATATCCAAAAAAAATTCATAAATTCCCGCAAAGTATCCAAATACCCGCAAAGTATCCAAAACCTCATTGTCAGCAATACCAAAAGTTGCAATTCATTTCCTTACTATATCTATCGTATTCTTACAAATTCATATAGCACAAATCAAAACTTACCATATAGTCCAACGTTTTGAACCGTGCAACCAGTGGATATGATCTGATGAAAAATTGCTCATGATTACATTGTTGTTAAAATTGCAGTGATTTGGACGCATCGGTGGAGGAGCCGAAATGCAACTGTAAGAATCTGTTGGCGGCGCCAACAGCCTCATCAATAGATTCTTGCTGCTGCGGCAACAATGTAACGGCACCAACAATAGCACTGTCATCACCTCCAGACGACGACAAGTCTAATTTAAGCTCTCATTTACTACCGTCACAACTACTTATTTCCACAAATTCTGATAGTAATAGTCCATCGTTCGCAACTGGTAGAAGCATAGATACACTGAAAAGTTGCTCGAAGAGCACCGATACCAGTTTCCAAAGCCTTTCCTCATCGGCTCATTCACCACTAATAAATCCACATCAATCACCCCATAAACAGCATCTCCACCAACAGCAATCCTCAAATATGCATACGTTCTTTGATCCTGAGTTGATTCGTGATGGTCATTCGAATGAACTGGGTGTTCGCTCGTTGGTTGACGTTCCACCTGTTGCACATTACCCTACTGTTGGAAGGTTTATTCATTTATCAATTCACTACACATTTATCAATTATTTCCTCGTACTTCATATGATTGCACCAATGAAATGCATGCAATTCCCACTTGCTTCTGTTGGATTAGTATCATCATTCACGAACCATACCAAACGGCCACAGACACATATATTGCTTTTTGACTCCAAGTTGTGTCGTTGTCAATGAAAGTAAAATATAAAATTGACCTTATATTCACACGTCAGACTTCCAACCCAAATTTTGCTCTTTTTTCAATGGAAAATGCCCGACAGTTAATGATGATAGCCTACAATTATTCAATCTATCTTCTTCAAAGCCTTGCTTCACGTTTGCATTTTTGCTCAAAATCAGACCACTGCTTCACAACCAGTTCTGCATTAATCGCCCACCCGACTATAATCCTGGTCGAATTACACCTTCCCAATCAAGTTTAGAAGCGGTTTTCAATAGCCACTTTCAAGACTGAAGAGAACACTGCGATAATTCTATGTAATTTCGTCTGTTCCGCGCAAAAGAGAAACCTCCTCTCAATGACGTTTACGTCTATTAGCGGGCGATATTGCCTTAGTTTAGGAGCACAGACCAATGGGGTTATTACATTACTGTGTATCGAAACAACTCGTATCAATCTCCATTTGAATATGATAATATATTCATGCAGTGTGATGTTTATTGAAAAGTTTCCATAATGAATGCATTTTAATTGCAGATACGGACGGACTTGATTCAGCCAGTCAACGTAACGTTGCGGCTGAACAAAAGAAACTTCTGACAGCACTATATCGTCATATTTGCATGCATTACGAGCCTGTTGATGCATGTGATAGATATGCAGCCATACTACTTCGCATACCCACTATTCGGGTATTTTCTTGAATCCATACGTCTTCCTCTTGATTCCATATGTCATGATTTGCTAACGATCGGAATAACGCTGATAACGATAACTGATGATCTCTGCAGCAGTAATCATAGCAAACAATTTAGCAATACGAATAATGATAGTGAAATGAGATAATGGTATCAATGATAACAATCTCGATGATTTGGTATAATCAGTGGAGCTTTTCAACCAACGTATGAATGAATTTTTTAGAAAGTTGCCGCGAAGAAAAACGAATCGTTACAAATAATCGACATGTTCAATTTGTTCAGTCTGAATTCGTTGGTCAAGGAGACAGCGTTGGGAATTCGTTCGCCTAGCGCTGGCATAACACCGATTGTATCACCCGCAAATGATGATGCTAAATCGTCGGTATATTTTTGATTGGTTTTTTCAAACTTTAATTCTAATCCACCGAAAAATGATACGAGTAAATACATTTTTTACGTTCACAAAAGTGTCAATGACATATCTAATTGCACATCATATTCAAAGACATATTAACTAATTTAGCGAGGAATCAAGGAAATTTTCGTTCTAGAGGCAGTGCGGAAGGGGAGACAACTAACAGTAAGCAATGATTCCTTCCTGTCAGTTCTGACAAAAATTTAGCATTTATTCGAAAAAAGTAGTCGGGATTTCATAAGACTTATCCATTGAACACTCTCATATGAACCTCTCCATAGGCCAATAATTGATTGTGCTATTTGAATTCCGATATATATTACATGAAGTGATTTTTTAGAAATGACACTGAATAATTGCTTATGCAGCAGACTTCACTCGAACTCGTGCTCATTTGGAATGCTACCCAATACTGTACAAAGTCAGTCATTCAACCGTTCAATGCTTGTTTGCATGTCACGAGAAACGAGATGTTTTTTGGTGAATTTAATTGCCATTTTTCAGTTCACTGAAGTTTTGTTCTGTGTTCTACAGATTTACTCGTTATCGTCACCAACGATGTTTAGTCTGTCTCTTGCATTGTTGGTTTTATAGTCACCGGTTGGTTGTCCACTTCAAAACGTTGCATTTTCAACATATTCGATGTGCAAAAGTTCATCAGTAAAAGTTTTCTAATTTTTTTGGAGCGAAAGCGCATTACCTCAGCTATAGAACTTAGCCAATGAGCTTGAGCCTGAATCTGACTTTAGCACAGAATTATTTTGGAAATGGGCTTGTTGAAAATGAGACGTTTTGAGTGGGCTCTTCATGCATATATGTAATATATATTGTGGAACCTCAGAAGTACCCACCACTCATCGAGCCCAACCCGCATCACATGCATCCAAACAGCGGTTATCATTAACTCCTCAGCTATAGAACTTAGCCAATGAGCTTGAGCCTGAATCTGACTTTAGCACAGAATTATTTTGGAAATGGGCTTGTTGAAAATGAGACGTTTTGAGTGGGCTCTTCATGCATATATGTAATATATATTGTGGAACCTCAGAAGTACCCACCACTCATCGAGCCCAACCCGCATCACATGCATCCAAACAGCGGTTATCATTAACTCCTGCTGACCCTTCCCCTTGATGCTCTCTGAACCCTTTTAGTCTACCTCCATTTCAGCCTCGTTACACTGGTCCTGTTCTGCTAACCCTTCAAACTCCCATTTTTTAAGACGTGCTATCTCGCACGATCTCTCCCTCATCCTCCATTAATTTCACTCCAACTGCAACTTCAGTCTTATTCAAATTTCCCGTGAGGGTTTTTTCATCTATGTCCATAGGATCCTGTCGATTGAATTCTCTCAGTTACAATAAGTTCACTTTCGTTGCATCAGTGATACGACATTTTTCAGAATTTGCAATATTTTTCCACAGAAATTTCAGTCACAATCAAAGA